TGCGTCCTTCATTGTTACCATGGTGTCTTGTTGCGCGCAACATTTCCCTATTTCGGTCCTACTTTGCCTGGCAGATTGTCTGGATATCCAAAGCATCTGAATCAGGCATGAGTCAACCTTTCTATGGAGTAAAATCACTTTTTGTTTTCATTATTCCGATTTGGTTGAAAAAAAATCTAGTTGTCGTGAGGTTAGTATATTCTGAATTCTGTTGCGCTTTGCATCATCAGAAGGTATTTACAATAAAAGTACTTGAAAAACGCAGATTACATTTTCAGCTCCAGAAGAAAATTCTCCGGATACCATTTGTAATTTTTGAGAGAGCCGCATGTTGAAAGAGAAGGAAGAGCCTGGCAAAAGCTCTCATGCGAAGCCCTTGCCTGATAGAAAACTAGGCAATCACAAAATACAATTGTCTTCAAAGGCGGATAATCCTAGATTGTCAAAGACTGTATCAAAGGATCAAATGAAAAGTTCTCAAAAGAACAAGAAGTGGAGCAAGAAACGCAGGAAGAATACGCAGAAAAAGCAAACGCCGATGAAATGATGTGGGCAGCAATGGGAGAGAAGTTAGTCCAACCGAAGCCGGATGATGAAAATGCGAGAGGAATATCGAAAAGGGCGGATGGTTCAGAAGAAGACATGCAGCCGAATGATGACAATAAAAGTTAAGTGATGTATAAACAGTGTAGCTCTAAACAATGACAACTGTGACAAATTCGAGTTTGTGAACATATATGTAGGTTTTTGCCAAGAATTTCCTTATTATTATATTACTCATAACGCCTCATAAGAAATTAATGTGTCTTAAGTTTCATGAAATAGGCAAAGGACTAGTTGGACAAGTGAATCGCTTTGCACACCTGTCCTTCCCACGAATGCGCAAAAAATAAAATAAATTTCACTGACTCGAAATAGAAGTTCACTGGATAAACTTGGCGATAAAGATGTAACATCCATTTGGAACTTCTCTGAGTTGCTGATATCGAATAACAACCGTTTTCTACTAGACTTAAATTTTTTTCTTGAGGCAAAAGATTGTCCTTGTTTTGTTGTATGCTGTCATGTTCAAATCCTCTAACCCTATCAGACTCAAACATTTATTTTGGAGGGATAGAGGAAGCGGCAGAATCCCAGAGACTCTAAAAGGAACTTTAGGGATCTGTCTACAACTGCTTCAACTTTCTCGACATCTGCTCTGTTGCTAATTTCTTGTCATTTGACAAAAATTTTAAATGATTTAAACAAATTTCAGCATTTTTGGAGGGCCTGCATGGCTTGAACAAGCTATGGCAGAATAAATGTTACATATTCTAGCATTCTTTGGCAGTACGCCAACAATGGTCCGCTAATGTACGGCCTTAGCCGTACCGATGTATCCGTAAGATAACTGCGAGATAACGAGCGCATTACCTTAACAGTGTGCCTCC